CCCCAAAACCCCAAAACCCCAAAACCCCTTAAGATATTTTCAAGATTGATAAGAACTATGACACTGGGCTACGAATAGCAGATGGTAAAGAAGGCTGATCAATAAGGGTTCTAAAGAGTCAGAGTGAGCTTACAAACTGAAACTCTCATCCATCCATACCTTCTTGTACTTCTTTGGAAGGTACAGAGGGTTTGTCGCTGGACAAGTTTGGATATCTTGGCCGTCACTTTTCCTATCTTGCTTGAACATACTTTCTGTGGATGTTAGAGAGAAAAAATACTCTGAATCACTGGATTCGGACTATTTATCAAAGATGCACTAGTCTTTACATTCTGCTTTAAGTATTCAAGGCTCTAAGATTGGTAAGTACTAGCACATAAATTTCAAGCCAGGAAATACTACATACCTTTCTTAGCTTGCTTACTTTGGTGCTGATCTGAAGCTGAGTTTCTTTTGGAAGCAAGGTCTAAATTTTTAATAAATTTATACCTCTGTTTCATCAGGAATAATGCTATTGTTCCTAGAGAGCAACGGCTTGAACTTTCTCCTAAATACATATTGCTGTGATCTTTAAATATTTAACGAACATAAAACAGAACATACCGAGGTTTGAGACTTTCACGTAAGTATGCATAAGCATTCTGGCCTGTTGACTGGCGTCTCCTTGATCTATAAAATCATATCTCATTTGGCCAGATTATGAAGAGTCAACTATATTTGTAAGCACTTACTTTCTCCATAAAGACTCCTGAGTTTTCAATAAATCTGTTAATTTCTTTGTACTTGATTGCTTCTGACTAAACAGACATAAAAACTTCAATATTCATACTCAAGCTGGTTCTTAATATTTTCTTTAACATTTCTCTTCCCTGGCTACAAGACAAATCAGAGATGTCCTCAGAAGACTTACTCTGGTTCTTTGCTCATAAATAAGGGATTGAGTTCCAATAGTTTTCTTGAACAATTTCTTTTCCTCGGATTCTAAAACAATGACCAGAATTTCTTACTCCCTTTATATTTTACTCTCATGTGGTACTACAAACAGGTGAGAGAAGTCTTACTTTCTTCTTGCAAAAACTTTGCTTGAGATCTTTGAGAGACTCATTAAGGAACTTGTTGGTCTCAGATGTCTCTGAATGCATCACACTAACCTGGTCATCCACCTTGGTCTTATGTGCTCTGTTTAGATATAGTTATGAATCAAGGTAAAAATTACAATGATTGTTTAAAAGAGTTTATAACTGTTCTCACACACTGAAAACAATACAAAAGATTTAGAAATATTAATCAATAACCCACCTCTTCTTGTACTGAATTCTCTTCAATTTCACATTTGTCCTCAGTTGTTTATTAACCAAAGTTTTTAAAAGTTCGTTTTTATTTAGGCTGAAATTATGATTTTCAACAACAATACCTTATAGAGCACAAAATCTGATATCTTATTTCCAACTACCAAATAAACATTGAAATTTACTTCAGACTGGCTTTGTGATTCCCTCTAAAGTTGCTATACTCAGGATCAGTGATAGTTCGGATACAAGACACTCATATATTTGAAATGTCAAATCCTACCTTTGAAGCTTAGGTCCTTCAAACGACATCCATTTCTCATTCTTCCTTCAAGGTTTCTTCTTAAAAAAGCGCCTGGAAGTGATATCTAAACCTTACCTCAGCTTATATGAGTAATTCTTGCAATCACTGTAAAAGACTTCTATAACATAAAAAATTAAGAATGAGCAAGAGAGAAAATTCAATGACAAACCCACCCATTTTCTCTCTCAAGGCTTCACGTGGGTCACAATTGTAGTCATCTACCAGTCACAAAGGAGCTTACCCAAATACTCAGCAAGAGAATTCTTCCTAATATAGGTTTTAACAGACGATTTCCAGTCCTTAATGGGATCTATTGACTTCTTCTTTCTCTGAGTTCTCTTCCGAAAAGGTCTTATACAAAATTAATGCATATAATTACTCTTTGCTAAACATCTGATCGTCAAATGCAAGCCTATAAATTGAAAAGATGAAGGGCTTCAACAGTATTTTATCTAGAATTCTGAAAGATTTGAACTAGATAATGCAAAATAAGTCTAGCTTAAAAATCTCTGGATGTTTTCAGAGCTATCATACCTTCTCCTTCGATTCATGATGTTTCGTAATAATCTATATAAAGAAATCAGAGTTATAAATGATTTAAAGTAGATATTTATGCTACATAAAACTCCATATTCACAAAAACTCACCTAAATTAATAAAAATGATTCTCAAACTTAAGTAAAATCTTAGGGGTTTTGGGGTTTTGGGGTTTTGGGG